ATAGACAAGAATTGCTCAAATTGCTGTCAACATATGTTTTGGTGTTGGTTTTCAAGATTTGATAGTTTTTATCGCTCTAGGTTGTTTCATTTTGTGACGTGAAGCTTTGAGATTCGTCTTAAATTTTGAGCTCCAAAAGTGGCATTTTGACGGAATTTGGTTACCGGTATTATCGATTTTCTCGTAAATAAATCAATATTCAGCCAAACGAAGCATGTCGTGATTTGTTTCACACTAAGGCCTACCAAAGCTGAGGATATTAGCAGAATTTAGTTTTTGGCTGTTGCTGCGATATTTTGAAAATGTTTGATTTTTGGACACATTTGCTCTTAAATATCACCATTGGTCTCAACTTCGATCCTTCGCCAGCACACCAACACAACAGTTGCGCAATTCTTCTCATTCCTGGACATTCGAATCCTAGCAGCTTTCTCTCCTGTGTTGTTGATTGTGTGGTTCGGCTGCATGTCAAATGTTAGTGGTATTTCGTCCATGTTTGCAGTAACATGTAGTGCATAATTGTGTTCTTTGTGAAGATTTATAACAAAATGATGGAATTGGGTGATCTTCTCCTCGTAATCTTCTGGAAGTTGCTGAGCGAGGGTTGTCTTCTGTCAAAGCGAGAGGCCATTCCGCTTCGTAAAACGCTGGCCCCAGTGTTTTCCTGCCGTAAACTGCCTGGCTGGAATCCCATATTTTTTATCCTTTTGCCATTTCAAGGGCTTTTAACTGCACAAGCAATGGTAGAAGTATTAGACCATTGTTTCTTTTCTCCGTGATCCAACCAAGAAGATCAGTCTCAAGTTCTGGCCATGCAGCTTTCTTGCCATGATTTGTACCCTTAATAAGTCAAGGTATCTTCTCTATAAAGTTCCCTTTGCTCTTTGGCCGCAATCTAACGTTGCTCTTGGAAACTCCAAACTCTCGTTCAGCAGCGTAATTTCCACATTGTTCTGCAAAATCGATGATCTGTAATTTATCTGACACTGTAACTTTGATGCTTTGTTCTGGTGATTTTCCTAGCTATGCTGATGTTGTGACCTCTACTGAAAGTGATTCTTTTGTTGATCATGGCGTTCACTTTTAAAAGTAGTTAGTTCCTTGATTATGTCAGTTATTACTGACAATAGTTACTTTTCAATTAAAAAGCAATGATATCAAGCAAAATTCAGTCTTTGTTTATATGCTAATGAAGCTAACGAGTTCAAACAAAGGATTCAATGTGTAATACGCATCTCAAATTTGAAACCTGCTCTAGGGGGAAAAAAGTGCACATTATACACGGGTAAATATGGTATATTAAAGAGATCTGACTTTAAATGAAACCTTGACATGTCACATGATTTTAATCTTAATTTTTATAAAATTTCCACTGTTACAGGATACAGCTGGTTCTGAGAGGTATGAGGCCATGAGTAGAATCTACTACCGTGGAGCCAAAGCAGCAGTTTTGTGCTATGGTAAGGACTTGCTCCACAGTGGAAAATTAGAGATGTTTCTTCAGTTTCTTGAGAAGTTTGACAGTTTGAGATAGATTTTATCTTAACTACTCTCATTTTTTGTAGATCTCACAGACAAGTCCAGTTTTGAGAGAGCGAAATATTGGGTAAATGAGCTGAAGACTTATGAAGAAGTTAGTATTTCTACTATAAAATCACTGATGATAAAAGATATTTAGTTTTAATGTTGTTAATTTTGTTATGGTTGTTTTGTTCTGAAAGTTGTGATCCCTCTTAAGTTAATGACCCTTTAAAGGAATTGATTAATTATAAATTTCATGGTTTCTAGCAATGGCTGAAAGTAGTAACCCTTGGAAAAAATATGGTTCTGAAAGAAGTGACAACAAATTAAACTGACTTGTTTTATTGTAAGAGATGAAGAAAATAGGAGGTGATACAAATATATTACTCTGTTCTGTTATGGACTAGTAATAATTTGCAAGTTTTATTCTTTTTATCTCTATAAGTATTATAGTTATAGAAAAAAGACATTTAGCTGTTGTGAAGTCTTGTGTGAAACATTTAAATTTATAATTATTTTATTACTTTTAATTAAGAAACATAGATTAAGCGCTTAATAAATTATAGTGAATGTTTAAGATGTTTGTCCAGGAATGTCTTAATAGTTGAAACTCTCCAAAATTAGCAATGACGAAAGGCTGTTTAATTCAAAATTAACAGGATTTTGTGGTACATGTAGTACCTCTAATAACATAAGGTTTTGCATGTTTTGATGTAGTATTTGGTGAATCAAATTAAATTCACTGAATGACAGCAGTTGGCTTTGTTACAATATTTCTTCTCAGAGCTGTAAAATATACTTATGTGGCACCAAATACGACATGGTTCAAAGTGATAAAAAATTACGTCAAGTTGATTATCATGCTACAACAGATTATGCAGATGGTGAGTAGGTTTGTCCTTGGCAAATTTTGTTATTAATCAGATCTGTGAATCAGTGCTGTAAATTTTGGGATGAGAGTGTTTTTCAGTTGAACATCAAAATTACTGAGAAGGCATTGGTTTTGCTTTCACCACACATCAAAATAGATTTTTAAACATGCACCACCCAACTCAACTAATTAGTTGCAAAACTAGTTGAACTAATCAGACTTGGCCATGTAATTTTTCCTGTGCTTAGCACCAGTCATGTAGATTTGCACTGAGTACTCGAAGGTTTATTTTGTTGTACAGCTCTTTTGTGGTTTTCCTTTGTGACTACTTTGGTTCAGTTTAATATCACTCAAAGTTTGAAAAACTGCTTTGACTTGCCATCAAACCAAAAGTGCTTTGTACAGAGATTTCATGATTGTTATTCCATTTCCCCTCAGAAATAGATGCCAAGGTATTTGAAACTTCAAGTAAAACTGGTCACAATGTTGGTGAGTGAAGTCTAAAATAAATGCCTAGGACGTGACATGTGTTACAAGTATGTTGAGCATTCATTATAGGATAGCTGTAAAGAGAATGAAATCTGAAGCTATACCGTAGTACAAGCTACTGTAATACAATTCACTAGCCCACAGCAAAAATAAAGAGAAACACAAAATTTAACTTGCTTACTTGTTTACTTTAAAATTTTGTTTTGTCGTTAGAGACACGTGTATTGTTACTCAAGAAGTATTGAACTATTATAGTTATAAATGCTTGAGATGCTAATATGTACATTATATTTTTTCTTTGAGGACACATTTGAAACAGCACAACATAGATCACTGACAAAAATAATTGAACGTCTCTCTGTTCTTTGTAGAGGAGTTATTCTTTCAACTGGCCCAGGACTTCTCAAAAGAAGAAGAGCTACCAGTTGGTAAGTGTAGATTGTCTTTGAGACAAAACATGTCTCAAGATTTGAATAAAAAGTACTTTTAATTGGAATGCGTGACCAGATTGTATACATATTTTGTACCAGTCTGAAACTTTTGGGTTTGCAATCCCATCTATAACCTTTATAAGTATTTCTCAAATTAAGTAATAATTCATCAAGTTTAAACAAAGGAAATCATGACTGTGACAGTGTTTGGATATCTGATCTTAATTAGCATAGATTTTTACGATTTTATTTCTCC